AAGAAATTCAGTTTAGATCTGGAATCTGAAAGGATTTGCTCATTTTTTCCCCAGGAATTCTACACAGGCATCTAAGTGATAGTCTACACTTTGTGATAGCAGCCTTGATTTGCTTAGGAGGGAAAGCCGAAGGGATTATTGGTTGAGCTCCAGCCTTTCTGTTGTCTGATATTTGTGTATGTATTCCACAGGGACAGGATGTATGCAGTAGTCAATAAATTGATGAAAAGTTGTTAGCAAATAAGATCATTCCTTCTAGTTGACTTATGCTAAACCTCACTCACTACAAATTTCAGCAATGCTCAGTGATTTTCCAAAATACTATTTTATAAATACAGTTGATAGACTAAGGAATTGCAGATACAAGAGAATTCAAGGTTTTCATTGTCAAAGCTAAACTGCTGGATGATAATGTGACTTAAAAAATTTTTTTTCCAAAAGATTTGTTAATGGAGAAGAAGCCTAGGTACTGTTTAACGTATCTGGCATTCTATAATCTGAAAAAAATATTGAATTATTTTTGTCTTATTAGCTTAATATACTCATGTCATCTTACTCCATATAACTTTCCCCAATACAGAACATCCTTGGGACATTTCTCCTACTACATTAATGTTCAGCAAATACACATTTTAAAAATTACCGTAATCAAGTTCCATTGTCTTAAGGCTTCCCCACCAAGTGTCTTTACTACTGTGTGATGCTGTTTCACGGCTTTGAATGGGAAAGTACTTGGTATGTAACTTGGTAATTAAAATACCCTTTTTTTTCCATCTCTGAGGAGTTAGATCTCTCTGTAGTTAAGAGTTTCACATTTCATACCCTTCCTAAGGGTTTGAGGACTCATACCTCATAGTCATAATAAACTTCTTTTCATCTTTTTCTAGTGGCTCTAGAGCTTAGAGCCATTTGTTGTAAAAGCAAAAATCCTAATGAATAGAAATGTTACAAGAACAGAAGTCTTGTGTTTTCTCTTCATCATGCATCATCCATTTTAATTAGAGGAAAGGGTGGTGAACACTGTGACAAGAGTCTGGAATTAAAATCATTAATTGATGTCAAGCTGAAGAGAGACTGTTAGCATGAATTTAGTGACAGCAGGAAAGAAATTAACCTTATTGCTTTATTTAGTATATCACATTATTTTGTGTATTATTTTCCATGCAGGTTCAAGGCAATTTCATTATCATAATGGAAGGGACAAATACTTGGTAAAAAAAAAAAAAAAGAAATGTGTGAATATTTATTTCCTGGTAATTAAGCTGAAATGATAAATTTTTCAATAACTTAAAAAAATGATAAAATGTTCCAAATTTTTGTCACTTCCAAATCCAACATATTCAAAAGTTAAGGAAGTGGTACATAGTGCAGATAGACAGTATAGCTGGTGGAAATTATTTAAACCAGGCTTCTTTTCTAGAAAGGAATGAGCATTCAGCTAAATTTAATGTGGGGATTTGACCTAAGGAAAATTGGGTTATATATAATTCTTAGCAGCTCCCTTACTGTTAAGAAATATGAGGAACTTGAGTGTGGTAGAGATATTTTGCGACCTGGGGATAGGGGGGTAGGTCACAATAAAAGAATAGAGAGGGTGTCATCTTGCAATGCTGACCATCTGGAGCCATTAAAGTATCAGCTGGAGTATGGATTGGACAGTGGGATATTCTCTTAATATCTTTACAGAGTTCCCATTAGAGACCATAGTATTTTTATTAGAAAACCCCACAAATTTTCTCCCCTGGGCCAAATATTTGCTTCCCTATGAAGAATTAAAATGTGTATTATGCAAACACAAACTGTTGGTTATATCACTCTTTCCACCATTTATAATAGATATATTCATGTATAACAGAAAATAACAAAGGCTATCTTTTCTGTGCTTTCATTCCTTTTACCTAAGAATTGCTACTAAAATTAAATAAGTCCACAAAACCTTCCATGTTTTTGCAATCCCACTCCTGCGACTGCTATTTGAGAAAGAAACTTCATTAACACGAGTTTCCAAAATGGACTTTAAAGGGGACATTAGCTGAGCTTAGTAACCACATTCTTCAGTCTTTTGCAATAAGACTACCTTTGTGACTCCATTTATGATGCACTTTTAAGGTTCTGATGTTTTCATTATAAGTGTGGGACACAGGGGGGAAAAGCGCTGACAGCTTTCATAACTTTTTGCGTAAAACACATTGGTGGCTATGAGATAAGCAGTTAAAAATGTAATTTCTTATATTAGTGGTGCTTAGAGGGGAAACCAATGGTTTTTAAGAGGCACAACAGAGGTGACTGTTATGTTTATTGGGTCTTATGTGTAGTCGCTTTTAGTAATAATGGCCAGATGTTGGTAAAAGAGATTAAAGATATGGGCTTTGTGAGTATTACCTTATAATCTACTCCTGTCACTGAACAATTTCTTCAAGGAATTGATTCAAGTTATGTAATATATATTTATTCCAGTGTGTATTGTCTTTCTGTAATTAGGGACTGAAGTGTCTCGAAATCTGGGATCCCATCAGTAATAAAACAGAAATGAAATATAGCAGAAATTGGGGAGGCCTATTTAGGCCCATGCTTCCTTTGGGGATAATTCTTTCATAGCAGTTTACATAGGTACGCTCAAATAATTTTCTTTTCAATAAACGGAATGTTACAGACATGATGTCTTATGTGCAGGCTGTGTGCACTCATTTTTAAACCAACTGACACCTTTTCTTATAGTAGCAAACACTGATTGTAGCCTAATAAATCACCAACATATACACTCCTTCGTTCTCTCAAATGCAGAATTGTTATTCAGACTCTTTACCAAAGTGTCCTTCCAAAGGACTGAGATGTTGTCAGGGCTTGGTACAAATGCTCAATCACTCCAGCTATTGTGGTTGGTTAGATATTTCTTTGCTAATGATCAGCAGTGCTATAGTTAAGTGGGTTGTCACATAAGTGGGCATAATTAGGCTTCAAATTAACACCCTATTGAACTGAAAGGTTGAACTCATGCCTCTCTATGTGCTAATCTTTCTGGATGAATACAGAGTCATAAAGATAGCACAGCACAAAATATGAAGGTTCCCTCTCTACTTGAGTCACCTTTCTTTTATGGATCTCAAAGTACACAATGGGAATCATTTTTAATAAGTCACATGTGGCAAAATTTCTATTTAGCAAATGAATAAACAGATTTAAAATCCTAAGAAAACTTTACTTAAGTTGATAGAAGAATCTGAGGTCTTCCTCTCATCCATGATGAAATTCATGAAATTTAACTTTCCTTTGGGACATAAGACATTTCTGGCTTTCCTTCTGAGCAAGGTAGAAGGTAATATTCCCATTTTCTAAATAGAAAATCAAAGGAATAAGGAGAAGATGTCCCTGGTTAGTCCAAGATCAACCAATAAATCTTGACAAAAATCTGGAATGATGGTAAAGAGCCTTTGTCTTCTAGAATTGGGAAAAAAAAGTACTAAACCACCAAGACCCCTTCCAAACCTGAAAGCAAAAAATAATTGTCTTTTTTATGATGTAAAATTTATTTTCTCGTAGGACATATTTTACTTTCTTACTTCTGTGGATTCTATGCTATAACCACTTTTCATTAAATTTGAAAAATAAAGGGAAACTAAATTAAAATCACTGTAAAGGAGCATGTTTATTAAAAAAAAAACTTATATAATTTCATTTCTATAGATTTTTAAATGGTAGGCATATCATTGTGTGTCTGTCTGTCTTTACCCAGGTCTGTAATTTCATCCATGTAGCAACGTGGAAAGTCATTTATAAGTTATTATCTTAGAAAGCTGTCTAAAGCACATCAAAGTTAGTGGACTTGCCCAGGGTCATAAATTAACACAGTATAGAAGATAAAATGCTGAATTTGGAGTCAAGAAGACCTAGGTTCAAATCCCACCTCAGACACTTACTAGCTGTGTGATTCTAGTGAAGTTATTTAATGTGTCTGTGCATCAGTTTCCTAATATATAAAATGATAGGATTGGATTCATTGGACTTCAAGGTCCTGCAAGCTGTAAACCTATGTTCCCTTTTAGTTTCAGAGGCAGACTCTGAACCGAGATTTTGTGATCCTCGTTGCCAGACCTCTATCCTTTCTTCAATGTTGACTCGCATTATTTTGACATGTATACAACCATACGCATTTCTATGGCAAATCATCAAATTTCTTAATGATGACTGACAACATTCTTACAATTGTGGTCAATTAGGGACACAAATTATTAAAAAACATTTCAATATGAAGATAACATTGTACCAAACTAGCATGTTAAATACCACCTAGACTATTTTTAAAAAATCTACATATACTAGCCTGAAATATTTCCCTTTCTGTAATACAAGGTAGTTTTTTGAAAGTAGACACATACCTTTTCTGACCTTAACAATGGGATTGCCCAGTTCTTTAAACATTGCATAAAAAAGCAAATAGATTGTGTATAATTTCAACAAAGGACTTCTTTTACTGTTAATAAAGAATTTATGATGTAGACTCATGTTTAAGCTACATGTTATAATGGATATTCATAACTAATTTATCATGGTTAGTGTATAGCAACCAATTGTGAATTATATTCTAATATCCATTTGTAACACTAGTTTTAACAATTCTTAGCTACTTAAAGCTCATAGATGAATGCCAAGCGGATGCTTCCCCCCCAAAAAAAGAATCTGTCCCTGATGATTTGTTAGTTCACTTCATTAGTAATACTTCTACCCTGAAAGTTTGAACTGTGTACATAGTGGAGTCTTAGAAAATAGGTATCTGACATAAGCATTTTCAGGTTGTCTATCAGTATTGTAGACATTATCATCATAGGCTAACTTAAAGATAACAATATTCATTCAAAAAATCTTTCTCCTATCTACTTGAACTGAAGTGGTTTATGTAGGATTGGGGGTAGGGGAGGGAGAGAACAAAAGTGTAAATGTCTATATGTACATCAGAGGGAAGAGAAATCTTATGTTATTCCATCTTTGTTTTAATTTTACAGGATTCAAGCCAAAACTCGAGAATTTCGAGAAAGACAAGCTCGAGAGCGTGACTATGCTGAAATCCATGATTTTAATCGGACTCTTGGTGGGGAAGGTGACTCATCATATGCTGGAATATCTTCCTATGAAACCTCCATGAACAGTGGGGCGATGACTTTCAATGCCAGGCCCCAGAGCCCCAGAGAAGGACAAACCACGGACGCTTTATACGCGCAAGTAAAGAAGCCTCGAAATTCCAAACCTTCACCAGTCGACAGGTAGGCACCAGATATCAATCAATATCTGGCTGAAAAATTCAGTTTCCTGTAGTTTTTGATAAGAGAGTTGATTGTTCATCAATTCTAAACAGATCTGCATTTTATTAATGGCTTTTAAAAAGCCTTTGAGTTAGAAAAAATAGTGAGTTCACACAAATCATCTTAATGGAATGAGCAGCACATGTTTTGATGGCTTTTCTAATGATTCACACATATTTCATTTTATTCCTAAAATGGTTTTGGACCTGAGATTCAACCTTTAGTTTATCACTCTAATAAAACCCAACATAATAATTACTACTCTGCTTATCAGGTATTTCATTTTATTGCTAGGAGGAAGAAATAGCTTTGAATTCTGTTTGGAGCAATTAGTTAAGAAATCAGAAAAATGGCATTACTTGTTTCAGCTCTTATTAGGTATTATATTTGTTAATGTAACATAATTTGCTCTGTAGGAATTAGTAACTAAAAGGTAGAAGACAATCTACTTTTAACTGCAGGTGATAATACAACATGGTAGACTGTTGGGTGTTTAAAGCCTTGGGTACCATTCCAATATGAAGGTCAGTGGCTACATATTTCTTTCCAGCTTTAAATAGATCATCTTTAAAATAAACTGCCTTGCCTTTGTATATTTATTCCTTCACCAGCATGGTAGTTCCTGGAGGAGTTTTTATTTCTTGTTCCTAAGTGGATAACTGCCATTGTTATGGACAATGTACTAAGCCATCACTTATTTTTTATAATGGTAACTTTACACACGAGCTTGTCTTTGAACTTTAAATTCGCTTGTTGCAATCAAAACTTACACATTGAAATTCCCTGCTCTACGTTATGGGAGTTGTATTTAATCACTACATGTTGCACACTTCACCTGTGTTTTAGTCAGCTGCTTCCAACTATTTTTAATTAAGGTTTGAAAACTGCTGCAGCTAACCCTCTGGCAAACCCAGAAAGAAGCACTTTAAAACATAGTTATGTCAAATCAGCTCTCAAAAGAAAAAAAATAGAAAAACCAACAATTCCCAAACTGACAGAAGAATTTCAGTTTATTCTCTATTTTGACTTTCATTTTTCTCCTCTGGTTTGTCCTTTAATATACTTAAACACGTTATCATTAATTGTATCAAGAAGAGAACATGTAAAGGTTGAAGACTTCTTATGTGGTAAATATCCTTTGGTATGACCTCTCCGCCGCCTCATTTTGCTGTATTAACTACAGAAGATGCATCAAGATGTGAAGAAAGTAGTTTTCAAGAAAATAAAAAAAGCAAACAATTTTGTTTGTTATGGACTTGTTTTGAGAACAGCAACATAGGACTAAGGATAACATTTCAATTCTACAAATATTAGGTCAAATGTTTCCTTGGAAGAAAGAAGGATTGGCATTCTTTGAGTAAAGTTAAAACTTTTTAGAGGAAACTAGGAAGTGACCAGTGTTTGGGGTTTTTAGCAACCAAGTACACATTGATTATGTAAGAAGTTTTATTTTCAGCTCATTCAAGAAGTCCAATCATAGAGGTAAGCACGATACTGGGAAATAGCCTTGTATTAGCCCATGTAGACCCAGTTGGGATGATCATTGGCTTTGATCCCCTCTTCTCTCAACAGAGAGAGGCCATTGGTAATGGGAAACTTCCAGTACAGAAGCAGTTAATGCAATTCAGTTCAACATTTATTAGGTATTTAACTGTTCATCAGTCTCAGTGCTAAGTGCTTTGCCTTTGTAAGGTAAAAATGAAAAAAAAATGAAGTATCTATCCTAAAGGAACTTGCATTTTATTGGGGCACCACTCATTGCTGTGAATAGGATGGCATGGTTGATTAGATGGAAAGGGCCAGAGGTAGAAGTAGAGTCAATACCAAAGGGTTTATAGACTGTTCCAGAGCAATGGTGGTAGTGGTTGTGGGAGAAACCAGCTTCAAGTGTCAGGATGCAATGATTAATGGGAAGGATTGAGCAAAATCAGAACTTTAAATGAAGTTTGTCCCACTCAAGGATGCTTGATTGCTTGCAAGTTTAAACCTGACTTGACTCCATCTCCCAGCACTCCTGTAAGCTGGTGAACGCCTCTTCCTTTTATTTCCATGGAAATGATAAAGGAGTGTATTTCTCTGGCTATGAAGATTTGATGGGATGACAGTCATCACTGCCTGACTTTTTCCCTGGACTGTCTTCCCTAAACAACTCTGGCATTTCACATGTTTTTTATTTTTTTTGTCACCTGAAAGGTAGTATACATAATGGAAAGAGCACTAAATGGTTGTGGCATCCTAACACCTTATTCTTGAACACTTAGTTCAAGAGCTGACTCTGGTGCTGCCTATGTGACTCATAGGAAGTCACTTAACTTCATTCAGTTAAGTCACTTAAACTTATCCTTGGTTTCCTATTCTGTAAAGTAGGGAGAATGATACTTGTACAGCACACTATCTTGTGAAGAAAATACTTTGTAAACCTTGAAGAAGTAAATAAATGTAAGCTCTTACTTTTGATAACTTGGCTAGTTTAACTTTTTGTAGATTAAATCTTCAAATAACTAAGAGACTTGTAAATCAAAAGTCTGTCATCTTTCTTCATTCTTCTCGACCCCTAGGGCTCTATCCCACCCCAAAATATAAAGCACTTACTTTGCAAATGTAGCTTCAATCTCAGAGTAATACAGAGTGGCTACACAGATGTCAGACCAAAGAGGGAAATCAAATGGAACTGAATAAACTTTTTCTCTCTGATTTTTGACTTGCATATAGAAATCTGAGGTTTCAGTTCCCCTCCACCACTTCAATCAAGGAAGATTGGTCTATAAATATTCTCTATACAATCATATCAGTTCCATGAGCTGGTTTTCAAAAGAAATTAGGCCTTGTCATTATTCAGATTCATCATGAGAGATTTGAAATTGCTTCTGTGGTGCAAACATGGCGCAGAACAGCAGTTGGGTTAAAATAAAGTCAGTGATGAGAATGGTGAAATAACTGGTGAGAAGGGGAGAAAAAGCAGCCCCCCCAAAATAGGATCCATCAATCGAATCAAAACTATACTTTAATAATTTAAAGTTCTTCATTTTATACTTGCCTAAAGTTCTTGAAAATCCCAAATCTTGATGCCATAGGAGCATGAGGAAACTCAGATTTTTAAACACTGTCAAATCTTGATCATTCTGGTCACATCAAATGATTATCTTCAGTGAGGAGGAGAGGGAAAAAGGATGTTTTCCCATCTTGATCTTCCCCTCTCCACTATGAACTCAATTTTTAAAATTATAGCAAAAAGATGCAGTTGTTTAGAAGAGGTTGGTTGATAATTCAGCTATGAAATCTGTCATTACTGTTTTCATTTTAGCCAAAGTTATGCCTTGGCAGTCCCCACAACATACCATTTATTCAGCTAATAATTCTGTTTAAATAATTCTTTTGTTGAAAAGGTGAGGATGCTGCCCCTGAAGTTCCTCATACATATGCCAATCTGGGCACTCATTGAAGATTTTTTCTTCTGTTGTTGTTGTCGTTTTGTTTTTGCTTTTATTGTTGTTTTTTTTTTCTGGAAGGTTAAGATTTTAGTTACATTAGGAAGTATAGTATGCTTGGGAAGCTAATTGATGATTTTTAATTTACATGAGGAGATTGAAAAATTCATATTTGTGTAACCAAGGGATGGAGTCTATAGTTAAAAGATTCCATTGAAAAGTGGCTTCAATGGAAATTTGCTGACTGTCACAATGCAATCATTTGCCACCAATAGTGCACTGTCCTCAAATATAATTGAATTGAAATGGGCACTGTGCTTCTGTAAATCTAAATAGCAGGGAAATAGTAGGCTAGGCCCCTCTAACTTGCTGAGGACACTTTAATGGAAACATAAATACCATAATCATATGCTTTTTGCTTGCATTTTACCACTAAAGAGGGAAATGCTAATTTTAAAAGGAGAGATCTCTGTGAACTGACTCTTTTTCCTATTAAATCCAGTTGTATCAAAAGATGATCTTGTGGGGATGAAACAAAATTAATTTTGTCTTAGGTAGAGATGTTATAAGGCATGCACTATCTCTGAAATGTAGGTTCTTATGACAGAATTGTGTGTGTGCTGCTCTTAATCAAAATGTCACATGCCACTTTAACGTTGTTTTATTTATTTAGTAATATTTACTTCTGCTTTACTTGAGAAGTAAGAAATTAAAATTTCATCACAGTAAGACTCACAGTAAAGTAATATAAAATATGTATTTTAAGAAGTGTTGAACATAAAATAAAATAAAATAAAATAAAGAAGTCCTAAATAAGAAATGATTTTGTCTCATGGGGGTAAAAAATAGACATTCTTTACAATGATATGAAATATTTGATTTCAATTCCTGTTACGCTCTGGTGAATAAGAAATGTCTCATTCATTATATTTGTATTCCAAGTATTTGGAATAGGGCCTGGCATATAGTACATATTTAATAATCTTTGTGAACTGCTGTGTGTATGTGTGTGTGCATGTGTGCACATGCTAAAGGGAACCCTTGTTACTGCACTGAAAGTACTGAATACTTTAAAAGATTTGTGCTTTTATCAGTGTAGGTACTCCCTTTACCTTCACAGATTGTAACCCAGCCACGATTATGCCTTCTTCATGAGTTGCTATGACCAATGTCCTGGGTGAACCATTCTAGACCTGTTAGGCTGATCTTCATATGACAGACAGACCCCACTGTCAGCTGACATTCAAGGTCTTTCCAACTTGGTATACAACCTGCCAGAGCTCCTGCTCCTCTGGCCCAATTATTGAGAGCCCAGACTTTATGTTCCATTGTAGCCACAGGAAAGGATATCTGAGTGTTTACAATTATTATAAGAATTATAATATCATAAGTCTCAGCTATTTCTATCAGAATTTAAAGTTTGAGGTATTTCAAATTAATTCAACTCTTAAACACAGACTCCACACAAGGCATGTCACTAGTGATAAAAAGTATAAAGAAACCAAAAATACCTGCCTCTGTCCTCAAGGAGCT